ATAAAGATAGATTGTGGTGCTTTTATCTTCCCCCTTGAATTTTTGAGAACTAATTTTAGATATTATTTAATGCGCGAGTGGTGGATAAATTTGATTGTGATCCAAACTTATCGAGGCGAATATTAATTTTTTGTCAAATTAGCGGGTTTTCTGTCTAAATCATTTGAGTCATTTCATACCAAAATTGACTTCAGTCAACTCAATTATAGTTTGAAGACGTCAAAATTAGACCCATATCTAATAATTTTATTTCACATTCATATCGACCCGACAAGTTAGGTTCAAAATTACTAGCTGTCGTCCCACTAGAGCAAGTGGTGGAAATATAATTTGTGGGCATTTAGTTATGCTCAAGTTGGGCTAAAGCTCAATGGGTCTACTACAATCACACGATAGGAATTATCTACTTAGAATTTAATTGAGAGCGTGTTTTGTACACAAGAACATAGAAAGATGGATCAATCTTTGACAACACAATCCTTTGACAATTAGGACAAATTCAAAAGATCCCAACTCAATACGTAAATCTTGAAAAAGGATTAGTTTGAAAAAGCAATCAACATGCGTGTTGAATAGTCAAAGAACATCAACTTGCATTTGTATAAGCTTCATTACACCTGTTGTGGAATTTTAATAAGAATTTGGTTGGGAGACGAGGACTAGGGGGATGAACATAAGACTCCTAGAGGGACCAAACAACATACTAATATTCCTAAGTTGTGTGTGTGAAAGGTAAGATTAAGGGAACTACAGAAACAGTGGGTGGTAGACGAGGATTCCAAATAAAGATACCCGGGATACTTTTGTCTTCTCCCTTCAATTTTTGGGAACACCTTCTAAGTGTCCTCTATCTTTAGGCGAAATAAAAGATATTCGAAACTTTTAGAGTATTTGCACAATAGACAAAATATAGTAAATGACATTTAGAAGGTATAGAAAAACAATAAGACTATCTCCGTTACGGAGTTATCAAAGGATATATGAAAATTTTGACTCTCACAAATGTAAAGAGACTTCCTATGACTTGGGTGAAAATGAAATATTTTTACTAAGTTGTATTAAATACTTATTTAATGTCAAGCAGTTGAACACTAGTTGTCAACTGAAGTCAATGAAGTGAACCTATGACCTCATGCCTTACTTCATCATAGCAAAACAAGTGGGGTAGTGTGGAAGTAATCAAAGGAAAATGAGTTCTACAATAAATAATATGCCACGAGCTCAAGGAAAATGAGTGAACAAACAATAATACCTTATTGGGCTCAGTTTAATATAACTAAAAAGACGACTAAGTACTACCAAACATCCATCTTAAATTCACCTAAAGGAAGGAAAAGAAGGTCACCCAACATCACAATGTCCTTTCTTTTTCTTATAAAATTGCTCTTCAACAAGGAATTTTTTTTTTTTAGCCAGACAATATTATAGAGAGAAGAGCGACGGAATTCAAACTCACTTCTTTAAGGTTTGATGAACAATAGTTATTAAGCCAATCACTAACCTTTTTATTTTACGATCACTAAAGTAACATGCTTTACACCTAATGAGCACTACATAGAGGAAAAATGGACCCTGACCCAACTCAGTGTAACTAACAAGTGACGTATCCTAAAGGGAAATTAAGTGAACCAAAAGTTGTGGGGGACGTATCATAATTTTATCCAACTAAACACAAAAATTCTATATCTATATGCATATGCTGCTCTGATTTAAAACAAAAACTTATATTCAATTGTACTTTTTTCCCTCAACTTTATTGTTATAGTAGCATTCAGCCCTTTCACAACATTAAAAAAATTAAATTAAATTAAAAAAAAAACTCGATTACCATCCTGACAAGTCATATTAATATGCAAATAGGGTTGAAATTTTACAAAAGAGTGAAAATAAACAACAAACCTAGAAGTATATGGTTACCAAAAAAAACAATTTCCGTACTGTACCATTATTACAAATTTTGTAATTTTTTTTTTATAATTTTTTAAAATCATTTACAACTTTTATAGTAATTTGGCAAACATTTTAAGGATCAATTGCAAGTTTAGCCCAAACAAACTATAACTTAACTCAAAAAATTTGAAGTTTATTTTTCTTGTAAACAATTCCAAAAACTTACATCAAAATCCACTGAAGTTATAAAATTTAAAGATATGGTACAATTTTTTTTTATTTTTATTTTGGGGGGTATCAGAGCGTTTGTCCACAAACCTACGGTGAAGGATTTGAAAATGTCTGCCACTAAAATGGTCGACAACAAACTCACAGTGCCTTATTCATATGTTCAAGCTTAGCCATATAATAATTATAAATGTCACATTCAAGAAAACAATACACAAAAAGCATAAGCGAGGAGATGTAAGTGGGCCCCACGAATCTTTACAGTAGATTTTGCCAGTTATTAGAAAGTGAGAGGGACAAAGAGACCGATTAAATTTTCAATTTATCATATCCAAAAAATCAATTGAACGGTCCCTCTCTTCTTTTTGGAAATTTCCTAGCCCATGGTGCCACGTGTCGTGCCTAACTTCTTCAATTCATTCAGACTTGGAGCACACCCTTCCCCTCCCTCCCCTACCAGGATTTTAGGAATATAATTAATGATTTATATCACAAAACAAACCCACCTTCAATCCATTCTACTTTGTTTACTCTCTTCAGAGTTGATTCCCACTGATCGAGATTCTCTCCGTCACATTTTTTTTTCGATTTCACTCAACAATAATTCGTCCATGTGAAAAAAAAACCCATGAATTCTTCACCTATACACATTAAATGATCTAAGATTTGAAAAGTTTTTTGAACTATTTTGACTCAAATTTAAATTTGAATCTATATTTAACTTAAGGTTAGAGATACTGTTGGACATGTTTACAAGAGACTTATTATTGCAATAGTGCGGAAGAGTGAGTGTAATACGAGATGTAAAAATATATTCAAATTAATTTTGAATCAGATAACCAAATAAGTTATGATAAATTGCAATTTTTTAATTAAAATATGACCCAAGTACAATGACGAGCAGCCAAACATGTAGTTAGAACAATTGGCCCATATACGAGTCATTAAGGCTTAGAAGGGTGTAAAAAGGAGCACGAAACTGACTTTGTCAAGAGCCCAACTCTATACAGATGGGCCGCGAGAGCTACAATGTTTACCCTTATTTCTATGTACAACTAACCCCCACCCCACCCAAAACAAACAAACAAACAAACCAAACACACACACACACACACAAAACATAGGTTTATACTAGTTTTGAATGGGACAAACAGAGGAGTGGTTCAAAAAACGTCCTCCCGATGGAGAATTCTTGATCAAACGTGATATTAGGCAATAGGCCCTTTGCCTCCATTACCAATCCTGTTTTGAAGACTAGAAGTTTAGAAGCACCAAATTTTCCAAAAACATATTACCATATCTCTCAATAACCTGTAATTTATAAAAAACAATCTGGTAGCATCATGCATCGTCATCCTCAACCAGTAACAAGATAAACTGTCAACATTTAATTTGGATGTTTATTCACGGAGAATCCAAAATCACTCATGCTTGTCATTGTTCACTCCTACAGGTTTCTGGACAGGATCAGTAGTAATAGATTTAGGTTCTCTAGCAACCTGTTGAAATCGCAAGACACCCACATTCAGTTACAGCTAAAGGACTAGGGAAACAAGTTGACATTTCATTGACTCAAGAAGCAGCAATGCCAATTTGTAAGAACTGCCTTCAACAAAAACAACAGCAGGTTCAGCAGACTGAAAATTTGGTGTATGTTTGGTTTGTAGTATTCTTCCTTTATTTACTCATTGAAAATCAAATAGTTTAATCCATCAGGATGAAAACACACTATTTTTTAGAACCACTTAAGCAATATAAAAAAATAAAAAAGATTAATTTAATCAAGTTTTAAGGCAATTTATCCATTTACAGATAATCTTGCTGACAGTTGAGAGTATGAAATCTGTGCCAATACACCTTAGTTTCTGTAATCCATAAATCAAACACAAATATTTGCAATACTATTTATGGTAACCCATTACTAAATGATCAATTATTTTGAAATTATATTAAGTTACAAAAATCCAAAGTGTTGCTAGGAGTTCGGAATCTGAAATCTGATACCCCTTTGTTTCTGTATCTGTGAAGTATCATTTATCCTGATCTATTATTTAATGATCAATTATTCAGAGGTCATAAGAAATTGGGAAAATCCAAAGCCAAAATTAACTAGACCAAAAACATTTATGATTTGTTTTCCAAATTAGTGAATATGAGCAAATTCGTGAGAGTTTGCACAATAGCAGTACATGCTGACTTAACAAGGTTCAACGCTGGAGCATTGAAGAGGAGCAGATAAGGACAGCGAGGTGATCACAAGTATACACTTGTGTAACTCACAGTTATGAAATGAAAAGCAATCAACAGAACACTAGAGCGCAAACGATGGTTTATAAACTATCAAATATAACCAAATAACTCTAATGTGATTTTGAACTAAAGTGCTACCATTACAAATTTCATCCAAATTGACCAAAAATTGTGATAAATATGCCAAATTAGAGAGTTAGACATGGAAAAAAAATTGAGTCGAAACCAAATATCAATGCAAAAGGATAAATATAAGCAAAGACAACAATACCCTCTTTTCATCATCCTCATCATCATCTTCTATGAGAAAAATCAAAACGGACAAAAGCCTCTATCTCTCCTCTCTCTAACCTCACCCCACCCCACCCTACCCCATCCTACCCACGCCATAATCATCATCATCCCATTGCTCACCACCATCAGAGTCAAGATTGGCATTACCTCCACCATATCAACTCAATTGATCCAAAAGAGAGATGATCACCATGATGGAACATGACAAAACAAATAACAACAAAAAGGTCGATGGGGGAGGTGAGGCCAGGTAACATATTTGTTCAGAAGAGAGAAAATGAACCAGGTGATAATCATGATCAGAGTGGTGGTGAGATCATAATCAACTTTAAGGTCTCTTATGGGTTGAACCAACATAGCCTCATTGTTCTCCCATATATAGAGGGGCAAATGGCAGTGGATTTTGGGGGGTGGTGGGCATGAGGGGATGGGATGTTGGTAGGGGGTGTGGTGATGACAGAGGTATTGGGTGAATCTGGCTTTCGGAGGCAGGTTGATAGGTGGTCAGGGCTACAGTTTGGATATGGGTGGCAACTCGAGTGTTGGCTTGGGTGATAGTGAGCATGGATGACAATATGGGCGTTGGCTTGGGAGATAGTGAGCATGGATAACAATATGGGTGTTGGGTTGGGTGGTGTGTAGGGATAGGTGCTAAGTGGATCCATGAGCATGCATGCGAAGACAAAGAGAAAGGAGAGCGAGCAAGAAAGAGAAAACGGGAGAAATGGTTGCAGCCGGTGTTGGCGTAGAGGAGATACATTGATTTTTCCAGCATTTTAAAGCAAAATTGGCAGTGGGCAGCAATTGGGCAATGGGGGAGGTGGAAGAAGACTAAAGAGGATTGCAAGATTAATAACCAGTGAAAGATAGTAAAGATAACAAGGTCATTTCTGACAGAGCCATCAACATTGTTAATTGTTCATATTAATCCAAAATCACATCAAAGGTTATGTGGTTATATTTAGGACTCTATCAGCCTAGCATTGTTTTTTATCTTTGAGCGTCAACCTTATTTTTATAACATTCCTAGTATGCTGGTGTGTTCAATGGTCTTTGCTGCACAAGGAGCCAGGAGCTAAAACTACATGTAGAAGATCAAACTCTTCGTCAGCAAACCAGGTACCAATATACCAAAAATGCATTCAGCAATTTGTAGTGATTGTACTGTTTTGCCATGTTTTTACCAATTCTCAAGGGTAAAATGTGACACCAAATGCCAACAGGAAAATTAAGATGACAACTGCGTCCAATGACTGAACCCTAAAATCTAGAACACATTTGTCTTCCAGGATGAAGTGTCGGGCAGTATACTTACTAATAGCATCCTGCAATAAGCTAACAACGATATAATCACCAGATGTATCTTGAATTGAACAAGATAAAACAGCATGGGGTAACCAATGAGACCCTAAAGGTCCAATATCTAGAGGAAAATTTCTATCACCACTGAGTACAAGCTATAGATGAGATTTTCTTGGTGGTTGAACTGTTCCCAATTCTTTCAGATTTCCAATACTGTTTGTCTAATGAAGTGTATTCATTCAAAATAGCTACTTTAACATTCTAAAGTTTTGCCAACAATGCACTTTCTACAAGGTTGCTTTTCCAGAAGAAAATGTGAATTTCTACCTGAGTAGCCAAAATGACTTACATTCTAATAGGCCGGTTGCCTCTTCTGATTTTCAATTTTCTGATTGCTAGCAATGAAATTTCAAACCTTGATTGCACGTTTCATAGAAATGTTATACCAACGCCAAAGATCAAAATTTTGTTTTGAATATCCAAAACGTTTCCATTTATAAGGAGACAGAAATGAATCGGTGATGAAATCGAAATTCTAATATTTCAAGGTGTTTCATAATGTTTCGAGGTGCTTTGTAATGTTTCAATGTATTTGAACAACTATTTCGGAATGTTTCATGATTTTTCAAGATATTTTGGTATATTTCAACCGATGTTTTAGAAAAATAATTCTTAAATTATTTATTTTTTAAATTCTGTTTCCGAAACAAGTTAAAATATTTCCGAAACACGTCGAAACATTTCCATTTTCTAGGTGATCAAAGCATTGTACTGAAACAAAATTTTGATCCTTGACCAACACTTGACCAACGTAGCTACAAAGGCATTGACATTCAAACTTGGATTATAAAAACTATTAAGCAACACTATTTAGCTAAAATTCCACAAGAAACACGGCCCCATATGTATTCTTCTAGTCAATTTGTCAATCAAGGCTGTAGTTGCATTAAATGGATCATTGACTCACCCTACAGGTAAGTTGTGACCAAGTTCCAAGAATTTAATTGGGGCTTTTAACACTATAACCTCTGAAAAATGAAATAACCCACACCTCAATTACATGTAGCAATTGTTTTAGCCGGATAGCTTTCAATATTGTATGCAGCATTCTACAATTTGATACCTTCAAAGTGTCCTTCTTTACTTTGTCCAATGAAGATAAAGGTGCTTCAATTGAAGTTATTCTGTCTCAGTGTTGATATTTTAACCGTATCAACATCATCCAAGTATTCATCACCGTGTCAAATGATTCTGCCACTGAACCTTGAATAGACAGCACATGTTGAACCACGAGTTCATGCACTTCAAAAATAAAAAACACAATCTTTGTCTGCACATCCAAATTTCTAGACTTTATATCTGAGCACAAGTAATTCTTCTCCAGAACAGGTCACTTTTGTTCATTACCAGTGTTTTATTCCCTAAAAAAAAATAGAACCGCTAACGAGTAGAAGTCAAATTATTTTAACCAACAATACCCCTTCTACAACCTCAAGATTATTCTTCATTGGTCCAGATCATCCAAGATCACAAGAATTGGATCATCTTAATATATGAATGGAGTTTGATTAGCTCCTGGCACACTCATTTATCAAACCTTTCTTTCTACACTATTTATCCAATGTGGGGGCAGAACCACAAAATGCCATTAATAAACAACATTGTTCAGCTAACAATAACATTTTTATGGGTCAACTAAACGGACTTTGATTAAACCAAACAACAGAACGACAAAAAAAAGGATAATAATACATGCAATATAAAGACACACATACACAAATTGCTCCATATTTATAGTGTCAATGACTTACCTTAGTAGTGTTAGTGTTGGTGTTGGTGGCGGCGGGCTTGTAGGGACAAGCAGGGGGTGCCCTTTCCGGCTTTCGATATTCCCAACCAAACAATCTATATACTTTTGCCTGCAAAATTTATAGACACTTAAAGAAATTGAAGAAAAGAAAGCAGTACTTCCTCAAAAAGGAACAAAAGTCGATCGGTTTTACCATGATGAAATCGAAGAGGAGGGGCAATATGTTGACGATTGGGACGAGGAAGAGCGGTAAAAGACATGCCAAGCAAACCTTTGCATAAAGACAAAGACAAAATCACCATTTATATTCATCGTATAGCAAAATCCATCAAATTGAAATAGGAGAGGTTTGAGACTCGGAAAATTACCATCTTCAATTCCTCTCTCTCTCTCTCTCTCTCTCTCCCTCTCCCTCTCCCTCTCCATAGACCACGTTATATTTGTAAGCTGAGCACCAAGAAACGACAAGAATGGATGACCAGCCTATATTTGGGCCCAAAGTTTTCCCATAAACTTAGCCCGAATTCAAACAAGCCCATGTGGAAAAGCCCATTGTGAAGTTTTTTGGCAAAATTGAAAAAATAAATCCGACCTGCCGGATTCGAACCAGCGACCTAAGGATAGCTATCGGGGAGACCTACTACAGTCCTCCGCTCTACCAACTGAGCTAAGGTCGGTTTATGTTTCAAATTAGTTTCAATACTATAACAAGTTAAAATATAACAAACTTAACTTACTAAGCACTGCCTTCATTTAAATTTTTAATCATTTGAAATCCAATCCGAATAACTTAATTAACTAAATCTTAATAAATTATAATTAAATTTTAACTAATTTACTTTAAATATTTATGTACAAATATATAAATAATTCGGTCGGATCAGATATATTAAGATATTTGAATTCGGCAAAATTTGATCCATTGAGAGGTCTAAAGTGGACAAATTGTATGACCGAAAAATGGCATGTCATAGAGTGAAGAATAATTCAAGTCTTGATCACTAATCACATTAATCAATTAAGCACATATCTTATGCAATTTTGTAACACTAATTTGGTGTGTAAATTTATATCTTGCCCCTTATTTGATTACTAAACTAACCAATATGCCAATGATTTAGAAAGATCTAAATGGAAGTAGGGAAAAGATGGTATAATTGGAATTATAATAATACTTTCCTCAATTATTGGCAACTTTGTTATGCATTATTTCTAGAGCAATGCTATATAATTTAAATCTGTAACTTAAATTTGCAATCCAAATAAAAAAAAATTATTGCATCAGTAGGTCCTATTTAAAAAAATTGATGGAATCCACTTATCCAATAATTTCCCTTCATTTAACATACAAATTTGAATTACATAATATTTCTCTTATTTCAATTCTCTCCTAATAAATGAGTAACAACATATGGCAGACCACATTGGAGTTTGGAGCCATACACTCAAGGCACCACTCTCTTCCTAAGGGCTGTATGGGCCTCACATATAATGGATGGCATGGGTCATGCCATACATTCAGACAATGGATGGAACAGTTCGGGGCCGAAATGACTTGGTAAAGATGACAGAATGAATTCGGGTTGATTCGGGTTATTTTACGGGTTTAATTCGGGTTGAATTTGGGTAGAGCTAAAAATATGCTTATTTTTCTAAACCTAATACATATATTACATAATATTTACTTAAATTAATAACCAATAACTTCAACCAAGTTTTTAACAATACTAATGCTAGAACAAAAATGAAAATGAATGAAAGAGATAAAGAACGATAGAACAAAAATGAAAAATCAATGCTAATGCTTTATATATATAATTTTTTTAAAATTTGTCGGGTTCGGGTTGAACCCGTAAACCTGAGGCCTTTACCTGAGTCCAACCCAAATTGAATTCGGGTTGAAATTTTTTGACTCAAGTCCAACCCAAATATTAAAAATCTTTACCCAAACCCTAATTTTTTCGGGTTGGGCTCGGGTTGAAATCGGGTTGTCCAACCCAAGTTGCACCCCTACATAAATATCATGAATAATGAATTTAGATATATTGATATTCATTTAGATTATGGTTTTATTTAAATTATATATACTTAGATATGTGTATATACAAAAATTGAATTGAATCCCATATGCAAAGAAGATTTTTGATTTTTAATTGATTCATACCAAACTTTAAAAATGAATTTTCCTAAATATTTGGATAGGATTCGGGTCTGAGTTTCACGACTGACTTTAAATTCTTTAAAATTAAATCACAATCTGATGGCGTATCAAGGTCTCATCAAGCGTTTTCAAGGAATTTGTTTTCACTCATGATGTGTCTGTAGATTAATGGTTATAATCTTTAGAAGTGGTTCAATGGTTGGGTCTGATCATTGGTAATTTATCAAGTTCAATCTCTTTACACACCCCATTAACGTCCAATCATTCTTGTTCTTTAGGAACATGTTCTAATTCAATTCAAGTCACAGTGACAATCACTAAATTCGAGAGAATAGTCAGACTGAATATTAGGTAACAAAAAAAATATATATTAGTCAAACTGTCTTTGTAACTGGTCAAGACAGCCAACCCTTCATAATCAAACTGTCAAGAAATGCCAAAAGAAGAAAAGGTTGATAGGGGAAGAAGATATGGACCTGTGCTTAGCCGTATCTGCTTGTTTGTAGACATTCTATCTATTCATACACTTAAAAAGTTTAAAAGCTCCCCACCAACAACCCCCGATCCGTTTCGGTTGATCATCATGGCCCACTCCTTGCATTATTGGCAGGGTTTGATAATACATTGTACGATACATTAATGGCACGTAAAATTGATATGAAATTATCAAATATGAGTTCAATCTTAATAGATTCAAGTCATTGTTAAGATGATCTGTTAAATCTGTCCAATGAATGTACTCAATCAGATACGATTTGTATTCGACACAAACTCGATAACTATGAACTTAATTATACATATAATAAAAACAAATAGATTGTGTATTTGTTGAATAAATTTGACACGACACAATACTGAGTCCTAATTATTGAATTGCCAAAGCATCTCTAGTTACATTCAAGAGTCATGTTGATTGCCAAAAGAACATGTCTTCTTATAGAAATGTTATGGGTTCATGTGTTGACGTCTTGTTGTATTGTCATGTTTGTTTTCCAACTCTTTCTGGAATTTTGCTTGGCCTCTGTGGTCTAATTGTGGGTCTTACAAATAATGCTATGTTTTGTTCTTTTTTTCTCCACTAAAGCCATCTAATTACTTGTGGCACTTGTAAGTGCATTCCCATGAAATAACAAAAATACACATCATTTTTCACCATCATTTTATGATTTTTTCCACCCCCTTATTCATAAATTCCTCGAGAGGTAAGAGTAAAATATGATATGACGATTTGTTCCATCATGGGATCCTATGAAATATAAGATTTTGCTATTCTTTAAACTATACAATTTGGTGTATTTCACGTGATACCGATATTATATAATTGAAATTTAGTTTTCTCACGATGAGAGTAAAGTTGTTTTGCACTTATCTCCCACATAACTCGTTATAAGATAGAATTATGTACATTAGATATCACCAATACATAATAATCTATTAAATTTACCACAAAAAAAAAAAGAAAAAAAGAATAGTGAGAAGAGCAATAGAATCAATTCACATTCGCATAGTCACAAAGTATGCCATTATGGGAAGAAGAAAAATAAAAGTTATTGATGTCAAAAGCTTTTTCACATGGAACTTTATCTATTTAGAGGCTATGAACCTAAGAAAACTGGGTAGATATTCTATCAATCAGTGCACGTTGTTAAGGGTGCAATCATTTTGCCATTATAGTTAAACTTTTCATCAATCAATTCCCTATTCTTGTTCTTGCATGAGGAGTGGAGTTTTTACCTTTGTCCATATGGGACAGCCGGATGGCTTACTGTCCACCCCCCATGCCTTTGTTGTGGGTTACAATCTCCCCTCACTCTCAAAATAGGGGAGAAATAAGACTGTAGCCAGTATGAGATCTGAGAGTAAAGTCATAGTTTTGTCTTTTGTCTCGAAAAAACGTAAAAAAATTTAGAATAGAGTTTACAGAATAACATACTTTTAACAAAAACAAAATGTCTATTTTTGTTTGGTAAATTCGCTTTCTTTAGTTACAAAGAGATAGCAAATACTTGTTTGCCTCCAAAATGAGGCCATGTCAATTCGTTTTACACAGTGAAATAATTTTTTGCTAGACGCGCATTGACAAACACACTCATACATGTACCAAAAAAATGAAATCTTTTGCTTTAATTTTTGATCAGCAAATGTTTTGATTTATTATGAAATGACAAGTGAATGCACCCACTTAAACCCCACGCCCCATCACCCATCTGCCTTCTCTCCCCTGTCTATTGACTGTACAGAAAGAAGTGCCATAACAAATGTCACACACTATTCTCAAGACACCCTAACTTAAATTCCTTGCCAAGTAGGACCCATCTCAATTCTCAAGACACCCAAAACACAGTGCTTACAAGAGAATAGAACCAGAGATTTAAATGACTTTATATGGCTGAGCATAGAGTTAAATTATTCCCTTCAACCCCAACATTCTGGTGTGAGGGAATGGTCTCTCTTGTAGTCCTTGCAGTAGTTGTATACCATGTAGTGGCTTTGCACCCATTGCATGACCATGGATTGCTGCCGCGTAAGGCTGCCTGAGCGAAAAGGAGAGGCGGACACCGTTCGACACCATGCCGGAGCATAGGCTGAGCAACCACTTGCTTTGAAATTGGTGAACCTCCCAACAAATGGTTGGTATCGATAATCGGCTTTGTATTTTCCATCCTCTGTAGCCCATGAAGAAGCATCCCATATGGATCCATAGACCCACATTGGCCTTAGTGGAAATGTTGCAACACTCTTCCTCGGATACCTCCTTATTGGCACATCATCAACAAGGAATCTGAAAATTTGGATAAGAATTTCAATGCACTATATAATGAAGTACCATTAATAAAACGCATGTTCATGCATACCTTTTTCTTGCATTAAAACTTTGTGCATTTTATTATATTTATTTTCGCAAGGGGACTGGTCATCCTAAACTTAATCCGGGTTCAAGTTAACTATTCATCACTCGGGTCCAAATTCCAACTTGCAACCTACCCAAGTTAGTGTATTCAAATTTATCCTGAATTTTAATACTAGTGTTGTGTAAACCAGACCAGACTTTAAATTTTGCAATACGTTGGTTGAATGATTCGGGTTAGTCAGACTGGGACTAAATAAAAATTGGAGACTTTATAATTTGGGTTGAACCCGGATTGGTATCTCAATCCACTCTATTTTAACAACTATCCATACTCATCTAAAAAAATTGCAATCATTTTAAATAATTGAGCGTTAATTGCGCTGGAAGTCTTCAAAGTATGGAGTTGTTTCATTTTGGTCTTTGAAGTATAAAATATGTTTCTATATGGTCTCTCAAGTAGATAACATCTAGATTATTAATGATTTTTTATCATAAATTTGTTATGTGACACTTAAATATGGACAAAAACAATAATTTGAATAACTCTTGACCAAATTTTTACCTAAAATTTAATTAAATAGCTATTTAAATTACATAGCTTTAATCATGAGTTATCCAAATTTTGGTTAAAAACTACTAATATTACTATTTTTTGTCGAGAGCTACCCAAATTTTATTTAAGAGTTATTAAAATTATTTTTTCTACATATTTAAGTATTATATGATAAGTTTATGATTAAAAATCGATAGTAATATAGACGTTATCTGCTTGAGGGACTATATAGAAATATATTCACTATTTCAAGGACTAAAATAATGCAATTGAAACATTGCGAACCAAAATAAGACAAACCTCATACTTCGGAGACCTCTGGGATAATTATCCCAATAATCAAATGATAAAGTTTATATCTTTTAAATGACACTGATAAGAAATCCAAGCACAGAAAAATTTGGTAGAAGATAGAGATGATACTTACATGATCTCCTTGGGACTCCAAAATATGGCATAGTGATGAAAGTTGTGTGTGGGATCAAACCATAAATGAAACTTCATCTCTCTCCCAATAATTTTCCCATCCCCACTTCCTCGGATATAAACATTTGTTTGCAATGTGTAAGGCTTCCCAAACGTGGTCCCAAGAAACTCTATATCCACCTCATCATGGTACCCTGGATGAGCTTCATTGTTGGACAGCTGCCATTAACCAATTTATACACTAAAAGTTCAATCAATTAAGCTCATAATTCACCAACATGAAGTTAATATAAAAATAATCTTGTGCTTAATTGAAGAGGGTAAAGTTGTTAGACAAGAAGGGAAGTCAGCAGTAAATGGCATTACTCAATTATGAAACCAGAGCAATTAATAAAACACAATTGTATGTTCCATATGGTTGCATTTAATCCGGGTTTAATCAACGCACATAGTTTGTAGTTATCGCGTGCATTGAAATTCATTATATGTAAACGGCATACACATATGCACACCAATGTGTAAACTGTGAAGTGTATAATTAAGATGAAAAGTGCTAAAACTAATGCAATTGAGAGTTCTCACATAGAAAGCTGTTATTACTCCAGCAGTATAACCGGGTTGGAGCTTGATGGAGCAACCAAAATACCCAGATCTAAACGGTTTAACTGACTTGAATCCACTTCCTGGTATTACAAATCAATCAAGAAACATGAAGAAAATATCAATTACCCACCAAGAAACTCAAATGCCTGAGAGCTACACTCAGAAGTCAGAACACATCAAAATACACTCTAATTCATTAAGACCTGAGGTCCTATCAAGCCAAATTGCTATTCCACTGTTGTCTGAGCTCTGATGACCAGGACCCCATAGGTTTCTAAACCCTTCATAAAAGCTCATAGACCTGAACTTAGAACTTGGGTAGTACCCTGGTGAAGGTGGCCAATAACCGGCATTACTTGAAGGGACAGTAAGAAAGAGAAGCAGAGAGAGAAGAAAACCCATGAAGTGGTAGTTAAGGTGAAGAGAGACTGTAAGGCAGAACCTTAATTGTGATGTATAAATGCAGGGTGAGAGACGAGAGTGTTGAAGGAAAGGTGTGTGTATGCAAGGGAGAGTATGGAGGTACAGTTGATATAAATAAAAAGATTATTGGGTCCCACGGTAGCAATATGATAAGGAGTTGTGTATTGATCATTCATAGGTCCAAACCAATCAAGCTGGTATAATATTGGGTATATATATATTGATATGTACATAAACATGCACTTTGATACATGACTGTTGACAAAATTAGAACTGTAGAAAGTAATAACAACTACTTTTAGGTTTGAGATCTGGACACTATTGTGATTCCAACAAGTAATTGATACAGAATTAGCGAGTTTGAATTTATCAAAGAGTTATAGGGATAAAAAGAATACCGTCAAATCTGTCTGTCAAGTAAATGAGTCACCATAAATCAGCTAAACAGAAATAGTATACAAACCTCTCATGCATAAATAGAATTGGATGGAGTATAACACAACTTTTGAGGTTTAAATAGACGACAAAAAACGACATTGTTTGCTGACAATCTTAGGTTTTGCTTATATAGAAACATATAAATATATTTTGGCACAAAATCATGGAAAAAATTAGAAGCGGAAAGTGCCAACAATAATTCTAAGACCTAATTTACTGACCTAATTCACTATGACTTTTGGATTGACTGTGGACTCTATTAAATATTAGAACTTGGTGTTAATCTAATAATTTCAATGAAATCACGTCATTAGGTCAGTAAATTATGTCAAATTTTTAGATCCAAATAACATTTTCCATAATTTTAACACAACTGCTTTGTTCACCTTTTATGGGAAAAACTGTTGTCTTTGGTTGCACTGGTGGAAAAGCCTAGAAAAGAAGATGAGATGGGTAAAGGGTAGATGAACATAGATGGGTATCTAATAAATGTGCCTCTCTGTGTGTTGTGTGTGTTCATATGTGACTCTACTGGATCTAGGATTTTGCTGAACAAGTCCTCCCCAGTGTATCATGAAAGCAACATGCATTTCTGTCTTAGCCTGTTGGATTACCCCATGTTTGTATGTATTTTTACCCAACCCCACAACATACCGGAAACCTGCATTAATTCAGAATCAAATCAAAAAAAAGAACAAATAACTAAAAACTATATTTTAATATACTATTAAAAAATAATATTTGCTACCATATATATCCAAAAATAATATACTATGCCGTACCGCTCTCCATTTTTACCTCTACATTTTCCTCCTCATTGGTCTCAGATTCTGGCCATGAGGTATACTAATGGGGTCCCCATAGGGTTGATAATAATATAAGCGTTTGATAAATGGACTCATGAAATTGATATTTGTATGGGTGATTGTAATGTGAGAGTGATAAATCAGTCCATTTTCAGAGCACAATAATGTTATTTTCTGTTTTCTGTTTTTTATTTTCAGGCTGAAAAGAAACGGAGGTGTCACACTACAGAACCTAGGATCGGTCGATTTCTGTTAGATGATAACAATATGCTTAAGATGGTTAGTGATTGAGTAAATTAGTCCATACAATGTAAGCATCTAAGCAGCCAATATGATAAGTTTTATTTCAGCAACGGGAGGAAGCAGGGATGGAGTCGCAAAGTTTATTTTTTATCCGGGGAGAAATCGTACTTAACACACGTACTAAGACTCGTGAAAACGCTATCACCCACTATCCACATGCACCAATAAAATATTTTGTGGGTATGTAGCGCAATCATTGCCGATACCAGAAGTTAGAACCTGGTTTCATGAGAAGTCAAAAAAAAAATGCCATTCCTGTCATCTTCCCATATGAGAAAACTAGATGTGACTGGAACTTTCAAAGTGTTATAAAGATAAATCAGGGCATTTTTAACCTTTTTTTTTATTGGTATCCACTGCCCTCATATTCCTTAGTATACATCGTGTGCATGCATGGAACACCACCACCCCCCCCCGGCGGGGCAACACACACATACATACATACATACAAACACTATGAAATCAGTGGTGAATTGGTGAGAAATTACAGTAGAGCCTAGTAAATTGAAGGCCATTAAATTTTTTCCTGGACTTTGAATGGGTGTTGGCTGCCATGGCTACATTAAATCTTACGCTTAGCAACCCCTGACTTTGAACCGTACATGTATAAAAGCCTCTTTCTTAGACCAAAATATGGACAGAACGGGAAGTTTTACTGTTTTGTCGGCCATAACCCAAAATGAGAGAGAGAGAGAGAGAGAGAGGCCCCATCGACCGACAAATCAAGAAGCCCCAAGAATCCCATTTCAATGAAGGTGGATCCCATTGATGGCACCTCCCTCCATCCCTAATTGAACTGAGTTTTGAAGCATGGGATTCTTGTGTGATGTAACATCAAAAATATGATCACTACAGGCTAATGAATCGTTCTTCTCCTTTTGCTAAGTAATCTGTAATGGGGTGATAATGATCAATCAGGACCAAAATAACTCCACTCGGGCAAGGATTGCATCAAATGAAAACATAGTTATTTGTTCTAAGAAATTAATGCTATCTATTGAAATGGGTTCATATTCCCCAAAAAGAGAAAAGAAAGTACTTATACATTATATGTATGTTAGTACCTAGATGCCGAATGCTAGACCCATGACCCAGAAACCTTTGAAATGATTGAATGACAAAATGTAGAAAAACTGTAACGGGAAGCATGGAATGGATGGATGGAGACTCAGACAGCTACAATAAGAAATTATTCTACTAAATTATTCTACCGACACTTTGGTCCTCCGAGAAGAGTAAAGCGGAAGAGGTGGTCCTGGAACATTTTACGAACGTACAATTTTTTGAGATTTAAGTAAAAGAGGTAGAAGTTATAGTTAACAAATTTGATAGAAGTTATAATTTTTAAAAGTAAAATTATTATTTTTTGACATCAATATTTATTTTTTAAATGTGAAGTTACAATTCTGGAGTATTCATGATCGATTATAACGTTTCATGGCTGATCATAACATTTCATGATTGATAATACTTTATTTTTAAAAGATGTAATTTAACTTTATTTTTTTTGGATACTGTAAAATTACCCTATCTTTGTGCCCATGTGCTGATCTAAATCTCGTATCTTTTAGTAAAATGTGTATGCAGCAAGTAAAAATGTTTCAATTTTGGACTTCTATTGCGTTACATATTTTAAAGCACTGCATACACATGCTAGAATGACTCCATATTTCTAACTCTTGGTCATGTGTGCAGGGTAGTCGGTAAATTTGAGTTTTTTTAATTTTATTGTTGCTCCAAATCTTTTGAGGTGGACAAAAATTTTCAATCGACATATAGTTTTCAAACGATTGTTTGTGAGGAATTCAAATGCCTTGTTTTAAAATTTTTTTGGATGAAATTAATGGAATAAACACACAATATAGGAATGACTCATTTATTAATTCAATCGAAAAGACTTCGATTACAGAAAAGACTGAAAAACAACCTTAATTATAGTAGTACCTGTTTTTTAAAATTAATTTAAAACTACTCTTAAAAATGCTTAGATGGTGGGTCTTGTGGAGGTTTGAGTGTACCCTTCATCTTCTCCACTACATGCCATTTTTATAGCCATTGTTTTTGACAATTTTTACTTCTATCGACAATTCTTTGATTGGTAACCTTTAGTTAATTATCCCTCTTTTCAAATATAGTTGTGGCTGATCATCTCTCGTCTTTCTCCAGATCCTATCACATGACATTTTGATGTAGAACAATGGTTACTTGGATCAAGAAGACTGTCGTACGTCCAAGGCTCAAAGAAAAGCAAAGATGATAGTAGAGGCAAAATGGCTAGGACCTAGAATTGATTGAGACTAGTAGTGTTGGTTTGGATCGGGCCAACGATAAAGACTCATCGTTTGCAATGAGCTCCTATAGTTTTGAGTCGAATTTCATTGTTTAGGCCCTCAAAATCCTGTTTTTGCTATTTTGGGAAAGAATTTGAAAATTAATAATAAATCATAAGAGATTCCACATTCAGTGTCGTCAATTGCGTTGGACTCCAGACGACACATGCTTTTATGTTAATTAGTTAGATTACAATTTTTCGTTTTTGGTAATTTTCGTATAATTAGAGATTGTACTTTATTATGGAAACGATAGGGTTTTAGTCATTCATATATATATTCTCTTATGTAATATAAATTATTCATTGAATAATATACCCCTTTTTGAGACATTCTCTTGTTCTTTTCTATGTGGATTCAAAGTGTGTGCGCTTTATACACTTGGAATCATAGTGTTATTCGTGTTCCTTTGTTCCGCTATGTCACATTTTCTCAGTCCATCCAGATTGTTAGGCATCAATATATTGAATATTCTTGAGATTTGATATATTATATACAAACAATGCTCCCTCATTTAATGCGTAATAACTCATGAAATGAATAGTTGTTACTGTTTAACTCTTGAATGCCTATTTAAAGGTTTCGACTGCTGCACTGTTCATTTACGTCTTCTTATGCACTTGTCATTGTGGCTTTTACCTTCGAAGACCTCTCTTTGTTTTGTCTTTTGCTTCTTTTACTTTCTCTAATGGCATCTAAACGAAAGATGGGTCATTCCTCTTCTCTTATTACTCCTTCAGATGTCCCTCCTATTTTTCACTTTCCTACTAGTCTTAGGTATGCCATTCGAGACTCAATGAAAGACAACATTCTAATCCCTTATGTGAATTCTGGCTCAAATTTTGCATTGGGTCTTGCCTTCAAATCAAGCATATTTGTAGAGCTATTTGAGCACTATCTTATTTCCAAATAGGAAATTTTGACGCTTCATTGTCCTCACCTTCAATGAAAAACTTAGGATCAAGGGATACCCCTCTAAAATTTTGTGTTCATCCAGACCAACAATGGTCTGACTGGTTAGAACGAATGGAGACACATTTTTTTTACCAATAAAAAGACCAAAAGATCTATAAACAAATAAAGCTTTCAACATGAATCGTTGGCTTGTGGGTGTAGCCATTTGTTTTTGGCCAAAATCTTGTAATGCCATGTTACTTCCACTTGGCATGATGTCTCCATCTATTCT